TGGCGAACTTTGCATGTCTTCGAATTATTTTTTTTCTTATTTCTCAGACATGCAGGTTTCCTCACAATGTTTTCCTTCACCACTGAGCACGTGGTAAATCAACACTTAAAATTGCAATTACAATATTATTGGTGCCGGCGGGGATCGAACCCGGTTTGCTCGCACACTGTGAAAATTTTAGCAAGCGCTAACCATCTGAGCTACCACGGCTCCTCTCCTCTCGAGCTAGAGACTTTATTTTATTTATCGTCAGGCCTGTTAGTCTAGTGGTTAGTGACCCTGACTGCTATGCTGCAGGTCGTGGGTTCGATTCCCACCCAGGACAAATGTTTGTGTGATGAGCACGATCATTTGTTCTGTGTCTGGGTGTAATTTATCTATAATATTTATGTATTTAGAAATATAAAGTATGTTTATCAGTTGTCTAGTACCCATAACACAAGCTCTGCTTAGCTTGGGACTAGATGGCGTTGTGTGATAGTTGTGGAATATTGTTATTATTATATTATTATTATTGGGGTATCTGTATAGTTTCTCATCTGGTTGGTTTTTATAAATATAAATTAAAATGAAAAGATAAATATACATAAATATCAATAAAATAAAATAAATACAAAAAATATACAAATAAATAAAGATCCAACCATATGAAATAAAAAATAGTCTATCTTTCTCTCTATGTTTTGATCTCCTAAAACGAGTTTTAGTTGGTAAAATCAAGGCAAACTTAGGGTAGGGTTGTCAATTATTATTTTGATAATAAAACCAGTGAAATTCCGCGGTTTTATTTGCGCAAGCGTGAACGTAGTTAGAACATAATATAACCTTTATGTTTTACATAAATATCCTAAAAAACTTATTATTTTAATATTTTACTAAGTACCTATAAAATTAACAAGTTTATTGCATTTTTATTTGAGTAATTTTTTATGCAATTTCTTTATCTACGTCTATTTTTAGGAACCTTTATTTAGTCTGAATCATACATAACACTATATTACTGATTTACTTACTTATACGTAGTTTTCTTTTTTGCAGTTACAAATATCTTGCGAGGTTGAAAAAGGCAGTAATGAAAAAATAATAAGAATAATAATAATTGACGTCAGCCACTTCTTTTCATAAAAATTTCAGATCATGGTCCATTAGGTTGCAGCTTCAGCGAACCACAACTTATAATAATAATAATAACAGTAATAATATAATATTATTTTGTATTTATTTTATTTTATTGATATTTATGTATATTTATCTTTTCATTTTAATTTATAATTTTTATATATTTAAATATTTATATAACCGAACCAGATGAGAAAATTATACGGTTCCAACAATTTTAACGACGAACGCTTGGATTTATTTTTAGAAAATGTCCTTTTGTCCATGTTTTTAGGCAATAAAAAAACTGCGACAATATAAGCACGTAAATGTCGACAAATCACTAACAGTCGTTATAGCTCAGGGGGTATGTCGGTCGGGCGTGATATCGGAGTTCCGTGGTTCGCGTCTTGGCTTTGGTCCCGCTTTTTTTTCCCTTTTTTTTTCAAGTTCTCTTCTTTTGTGATAAAATCTATTATTTCAAACCCTTTTTTTAGTAATTTTTAAAAATACGAAAATTTTAATTTTAAAAATTTAAAAAAAATATCTATTTATTTACTAATGCTATATTTATTATTTTAATAATTACCTACCCAGTAGGTAAATATTAAAATAATAAATGTAGCATTATAAACAGTAAATCTCCCTCAAACTCAATTTACTAATATTGTTCCTAAATAAGGAATAGCAGATAAAAGATTAGTAGGTAATAACTATTGCTCCTCACAATTATATTTGACCTCAAGGTAAAACATATCCTAAAATTCAGAAGCTAAATAAAATAATAATACATACTATTCAAGTATATTTTCAATATGTAAGTAAATGAAAATAACAAAAATGAAGCACCATTAGCATGTAAAGTTCGAATCCATAATTAATATTTCGACAAATATTATAATTTACACTATAAAAAGCTAATTCAATATTAGCAGTATAGTATATAGTTAAAAATAATCAAAATAGTCTTTTTTATTAATTAGATAATATATTAGAATACATAATTCTAATATAATGCAACTAATATATCGAATAAAGAAAATTAAAATACATTTATCATTGTACGCCGTGTCTATTTCCACAGAATAGTTCATTGTCATCGAAAAAATAATACTACGTTCGTAGCAGTAGGTGGCGTCTTTTGGCGATTTCTTACGCGATATATTGTAGCGAGCTTCGACAGACCAAACGCTCAAGGTCGTTCGCTGGAGGTAGCGCCTTAAGACGACACCTCGAAAGGGCTATCGCCGGACTGATCCGAGTGAATGCATAATTTCTATAAAAACTTGAAAAAACGCCCTCATAAGGTCTAAAATAGCGTAGCGCCCGCGACGATTAAAAGCGCTTAGAAATTCTCAGAAACTTTAAAATATTTTTGTAAAAATTATTGATTTGAGTAATCAAAATAATGAGCAAGTAAATTATGAATATTAATGTTATGAATATATTTGAGTGATTTCGAAGCATATAGATTAAGTAATTTCGTTGTAATTTCAACTATAGTGGTTTTTTAGAGGTGTTTTCGCAAATAATTATGATCGAGTCAAAATTATACTATCGTGTTTTTGAGCAATCAAATTCAAGATAAAGACATGAATTTACCTATATCAAAATTTCACTTCCCTTAGTGGTGTCATAGTCCTATCAATTATTTTATTATTATAATAGTACATGATATTCCCTTTAAAATGACACCAATATGAATAATATCTTATATCTATATCTACAAATAAATAAAATTGAAGTGTCTGTTTGTAATGTTAAAATAACAGCTTTTTATTAAATGCATATGAAAGTACTAGTAACAAAAACAAATTTTTAAATTTTTTGTCTGTCTGTCGGTCTGTCTGTCTGTCTGTCTGTTTGTTCCAGTTAATCTCCGAAACAGCTGGATCTATTTTGACGGGACTTTCACTGGCAGATAGCTGATGATATAAGGAATAACTTGAAATACTTTTGTTTTAGAAAAAGAATTAGGGTTCCGCGCAAAAAAAATTAAAACCCATGAAATCCATATTCCACGCGGGCGAGATCGCGGGGAATAACTAGTACTCAATATAGATAAATGTATACTTATTTTTATTTATTTATTATTTTAATAAATAAATAAAAATAAGTATTAATAATTTCCAGACACATCTCAACAGATATTTCGTTAATAAATTGCTATCAATACTCAAGCATTCTTTTATATTTAGCATCCATTTAACACAAAAAAAAAACTGATAAGAATACTTTTTAAACAACATATAATCAATAAACGATAATCGCGTATAGTGAATTTCGAGGTAAACCAGCATGCGACTACGCGGCCCGCGCTTTGTCTCGTCACAGAGTGGCGAAATCACAGTAATATAGGTATTTTATAAACAGCACCTATCTAGTATTATGAAATATGTAGATAAAACTTAAAACTTACCTTGATAAATGTATACCCTTTTGTTTGTAATATTTTTTTAGACCTCTCTTTAATCGTTTCTGCTTATTCCCCATGTTTTACAAACTAAACTTAAACATTAATAAAACTGTACAATTAATATAACTATAAAACACTACTATTAAACAAGAATCAGAAAAAACCTACTCCACTATTAACAAAATTAAATTTTTGCAGTAATATTTTACGATTTTATTTCGTAGTGCTGAGCTCTCGCAACGCGGCGTACGTCCACCTAGCACCACCTAGCGCACTGAATTCGTGGACGAATGCGGGGGTGATATAGACGCAGTATTTAATCGGGACGTATTTTTAATTTATTATCATAAAAATAATACATATTTCTAAAAAGTAACCAAACCAAATTATTTTATTTTGTATTGCAAAGCAGTAGATATTTTTTTATATTCCTTTGATAAACAATGAAGGAGTAAAGTGGTTTCATCTCAACGATTTGGAGGTGATTTGGGTATTTTTTTATTTATTATGTGACACCGATAGAAAAATTATGGCTAAACCAAATTACGTATCAGATCATGTAGATTACTAGCTATTTTTTTCATATGTAATTTCTCTGTAAGTGTCGACCAAAAGTTGGTTCATCTGCACGCTTTTTTCAAGCTTTTTGCGAGAGAGCAGCCTTAATAATAAATGCACTTTGTTCATTCATATTCAAAATTTCAAAACATTTTATACACAAACACCGTGTCGAAGACTGAGGAAAAGAAACGACGTTAGACCATCGTTAGACAATGCACGGCCTTCAAGCCACACCTCCGTGCCCGTCGGAGAGCGTGAGGTTTTTTTCGTTACGAAATTTCTGGATTTTCCCGCACTCAAGGCCCGCGATAGAAGCTATGCAATAGCTTAAAAACCATAAGCCCTGCCATACATAGTTAGTTCAATTAGTATGCAAAGTTTCATGATCCAATTTAAAGTATTTTCAGAAGTAACTTTGGATCTTTTTCCTTTTTTTCGAGAAATTACGGAATCGTGTTTTCCTCTAACATAGTACTTAACATTAATCCTCAACACCACATATTTATTTCAAAAATAATGTTGCAATATTTTTGGTATAACGGAGGTTCTTGCTATGCCATTTGAGATAGTATTTTTATTATATCCTCATAAAAAAACAACCCCAGAAACGAGACTTTGTTGGACCACGAGTTTAGCGTGCCCTATGATATTCATAGAGTACTCTATAAAGACCGATGCCTCTTGAAGAAAGTTGTCAGTCACCATGGTCAGCCCCGTAAATTCCCGCATGACTAGTTACGTGCCCCACAACCAGGTGCAGTCTTAAACCAATAGGCGGCCGTGTTGCCTACAGACACAGACGAGCAGGGATCAAGGAGCATCCGGCATTGTTAATAAGCTGGTGACAGCATCAGCACCAATACAACCTGCGTCAAAACTAGCTGGTGCTAGTTCAGGGTTCCGTCGGTAATCGTCGATTAGAGACATGGGAAAATATGGATTCCATCCCGGTGAGAACCTTTCATGTTATATTCTTACAATCACACATAAATTACTACGTAACACATTACAAAAAAAAGATGTTATTGACGTGTTGTCATACAATGACCGTTATCTTATTAAACCAGTGGTGGAACGTGATCGTCTACGTAAAGTAGCTCATGACCAGTTGCAACGGGCACCGCAGCCTGGTGAGCAGGCAGCCATGTCGCCGAGGAACGAGCCTGTTAACGACCTAATAAATGATGGTGGATCCCATGATTCGCTTTCTCTAAATTATTTACAGTCTCAAAACTTGCAAAATGTCGACGGTAATCTGGTAGACAATGGTGCTGGACCTTCAGTCATGATAGATTCTACAAATTAAATGGTGATCAGTTTCCAATTTATTCTAAGCTACTATCTATTATAATTACTGTATCTATTAATTACATAGCTATCAAACGAAACAACTTTACTTCATTCACATTGGAGGAGTGGAGTGGAGAGGAGGAGTGGAGGCAAATATAAACATTAAGTTATTCTTTAAAAAAATAAAAATAAATTATGGCCTATAATACAAAGTGGAGGCGACAATCACTTTAATACAACATCTAATACTCTCATGTTTTCCTGCTGGGACACTGCGTCCATGAACGCTCAGAACCCAGTTCCCTATTTTCCCGTCAAATAAAGAGACTTCGTGCCTGTCACGGAGCAGTGGTCCTAAGCTCCTTACCTTACTCTCCATCAGATCAAGGACTTTGTGTCTATCACAGAGCGGTGTTCCTGATCCTACTTCATCTATTCCTTCAAATCGAAGACTTTGTGTCTATCACAAAGCATTACAGTCACGTGAGAATGAAACAATACTATACTCGTACCGAATTGAGAGTAAAACTACAATCTGTAACTTTACATATTTATAAATGCAATGATAATAATTTATGGTTTTAATTACTAAAATTAAAGTTAAGTGTGCTTTTTAAATCTTCACTTGCTATATGATCATCTCATCATTATTGGGTATGGTTCCCAATCAAGGCCATCATTTACAAAATTAATACTGTGTTAACAGGTCAATAGAGATAGAAGATTATTCACGGCAAGTGCAGAGCCCGCACCGCCGATCAGAATGGCCGTGTCGCCATAAGAACATCTTCTGTTGACGAAGCCTAAACTTTGCATTGTCTTTATAATTTTTATAAATTATAATAATCAAGTGTATAATTATTAATATTACAATGTAATAACAGCAATTTATCAGAAACATAACATGTAACTAGCTAGTTCTTTAAAACTCCTTCGATAGGTATACAAATCTCTTTATTGACAACTAATTCCTGTTAAAACTACTATTTATTCGATTATCAACTTTTAACTCAAATATTGTTTTAAATCGTAGAATAAATAATTATCGACTTGATTATCAATCCTGGTAATTGAAATTACTTAAGTAACCTAATGAATTCAATAAAAAGTTAGTGTTTAGTGAAGTATTGACCAATCAAATCGTCGACCAATCAGAGCACACCAGTCGTATTACGTTTTCTTTATTGTATGAACGCGGGAATAGAATCGCTTCTGTTCCTACGCTCGTCGGTGTAGTTCTATTTTCCTGATAAAACTTTGTGATTATTATTTGAGTTTTTTTTTATAAAAAGAAGTGTAGAATAAAGTTATTGTGGTATAAAATTAAGTGTGTGATCTTAGATCTCTTTCATTATAATGGACACAATATACGGTAGCACGACTGAACCCTTGTCAAACGGGGACAGTCTGCCTCACTAATAAAAAACAACCTAGGTATATATATATATATATATATATATAAATTTATTCTTATAAAGAGTGTACATTATTTACATTTTTGCCAAACTGTAAGCCGGTTTGTCGGCAACAATGAGTAGGTAATGGGTGGGCAATATAATAGCTTCTGTAGTCATAACTTTAATTCTTCGATACTTTATATAAGTTTTATAATTCTTTCGTCACTTTTTTATCGTTTTGAAGTGATACACAAATGTTAATTTCATTTCAATCAAGCCCTAATTCAGTGAAGAAAAGCAATGCGATGGCAACCTATTGCTTTAAAACATAAATAAATTTTATGTTTTTCAACCAAAGAGCAACACGGGCCAGCGGCACTCCCCTCTGTCAAAGTATAAGTCCACGCGTTTCTATGCGTACAAGCATTGCTTAACAGACTAAATCTAATCCTTTCGGAATTAAAAGATGTGGAAGATTTTTTAAATACACTTAATTTATAAATACAGTTTTCTACCTTACCAGTCTTTATCGGACGACTGCTAGATGAACCCTCTTATTACAACAAGAATTGACATAACCGCCTGTTTGAAAATTTTATTATCTAAAGGTATAATTTTGTACGTGAAATGTAGGACGGCCAACCAGTATATGGAGTATGAAGTAACGTAAGAGATGCAAAATGCATGCAAAAGATGTCTATAGATGCAGGTAGCTTAGATCATGCTTTGTGGCGTTCTTATGTGGAACGCTATGGCCAGCACAGGACTTGTGAAGAGCTGTAAAGATGACGATCTTGTATGTTAAATGTCTACTTATGTAAACTATCTATTTTTAACTGCTTGCTACATTAAATAGTAGTCTAAATCTCCCATTAAGTTTTATTATATAAAAATATATTATTTTGGTGAATTTAAACGAAATACGTCAAATTAGGCTGTTTGCGCATAAATTACTGTGCCTTTAGATAATTTAAAATGTGTTGCATAGTAGTAGCAAGCTAGGGTCAAGCAGTGATGCCAACTTAGCGCTTACGGCGTTAGACTTAACGCTTTTTAGGCTCTGTCAACACCCAACAAAAAATGTAGCGCTTAGCGCCCAATCTAGCGCTATTTAAATAATATTCCTCTTTGAAATATCAACATTTAAAGGAACATAATTATTCAAAATAAATAAAACAACAGTGCAACAAGTATCTAAAGCCTCTTAAATAAAAAAATATGTTTTATTTGACGACATTCTATCGACATTTTAAAATATTATTGAATAATATTGAAAAACTTATACCCAGCACCACATCCCAGTTAAAATTTTGAAAAGTAATTGGAACCGTTTTCTGACTTGGAAAAGAGCAATATACGTAAACGATGAGTTAAATTTACTGCTAAATTAATAAAGGAGTTACAAGAGATATTGCCAAAGAAGTTTCACATATTAAAAAAATGAATATAATTAATGTTACTGAAACTTTAAAGACGAATAGTGGGTTGAAAATCATTGAATTAGCTAAAAGCTTTGGCATAAGTGGAGATGAGATAAATAAAATAGTTGGTCAGTGGCGCAATATCATTGAGTTATACAAGACTAGAGGAGCAAACCACATTGCCGCGCGTCGAACAAAGTGTAACCACTATCCAAATGCGACGACGTAGCTTTGAAATCATTAAAATTTTTAAGTAAACATATATCTGTCTCACTTACACAAGTCGCGGAAAACAATATCGTCCCTAAGATTAGATAAAGATAGACACACAAACATGCAGTGGCGGGTTGGTGTTGCATACTTTATGAAATTTTACCCAAAATGAGCAATATAAAGGAGTTTTTTTTTAAAGTTGCAGTAAATTGTTTTTATTTTAAATTTGTATATTTTCTTATTAGATGAACAGAAGTAAGCATAAGTAATGAAATAAAATATGTTTTTATATATTATTTTTATTGTACTAATAAATCAAACAAAAAATAAAGCAAATAAAAAAAACAATTTTAGGTTTCTTACGCGAGATCTGTGTTGAATATGCATAAGTTGTGAAATCATCACCAAGTTTTTGTCTCTTAAATTTAGTCTCATGACATTAGCTACAAAAACTTTGGTTATCAATAAATTTCGTTGATTTTCTTGTTTATAGAATTTCTAAACTACTTAACAACTTTAAAAAGTTTTTATATTTTTTTTGCAACAATACTGAGGATAGTTAATGGATTCAGGCGTGACTCTGCGGAAGTCTATTTGTAAGATAATGTGGAAAAATCACAAAGGCGGAAAAGTGGCAACATTGAACCTAAATTGCAATATTCGATATTTTATTTAATTTTTTAGTGTTTTAAACGTTAATATGAATATATAAATTAAAACTTACGTATGGAAAGTGATTCCGCTTGATTTATTATGTTTTTGTGACCTTGAAACGCATTCTTTCACTACGCATTTACCCATTTTTTGTTGTGAATCGTTCGGCTTAACTCGGACGGCGTCACCTTGAACACTGAACCGACGTTCGCTGAGTATAAGGCTGTGGCCTTATGTGAAGTGACAACGCTTTGGCGCGGAAATTACTTATCTAGTGTAACATATAAATCAATGCGCAATATAGTATCTGAGACATGGATAATCACAAATGACACTATACAATTTTGTACGGAAGTTAAAGAATACAAAGAAGCTGGTGGTAACAATCCATTTCAAGAATGGAGAAGATAACAAGGTTCAACATTAGACTTTTAAGTACGTAGGTAAAAAGTCTAGACCAAACACATAATTCTAGTTTTTATTTCACATCGACCGGTGCACTATTACCGAAGTTATAAGCATGGTAAGTTTACGTACATTTCTAAAATCTCGCCCGTGCCCGCGAGTAGCGCGTGACGTCATTCGTTCCAGTGCGCCGATCATACGTTTGTAGTAATATTTCGCGGGTGAGTTGTTTGCCCTCGTTCGCTCTGGTGTTTTTAAGTATTTAATGATGGAAGAAGGGTTTCAAAAGGGTCAATCTGACAACCTTCCAATAGTCCGTGACATGATGGTGGCGGAATATTTTCTAAGAAACAAAGATTTTGTCGCGGCTGAAATACGCGGATTCAAAATAATAAGGTGGGTATAAGAATAAGATAATATTTTTATAACCTAGGTACCCATTATTACATTAATACTTCTGGGTTTCATTTGCTAATGATAAGAATAGGTTCAGCCTCTCGGTCTCGTCTGTGAGGTGGCTGATTTCAGCCAGTAAAAAATTAAAATTAAATTTATTTAAACACGCCATTAAAACACGGTCGCATTTCGCGGCTAAATTCGTTTATTTCTTTATCTTTCTCTGTGGAATAAGACCGTGACTATGTACATTATGAACTTGGCTGTATGATATACGTTACTACTAGTAACGTCTATAGAAAAAAATAAAAAGAATCTTGTCATTGTCATCGAAGTTCCGTTGATTTCGTTGAATAAACGTGTGATAATTTTGCTTTTAAAATTGTGAATTACAAGTTACTATATCGGATATCATGGAAAATACAATGGAGCGGCAAGTTATCTTTAACTATTTATCTACTTTTCGAGGCTTGTTGGCAATTTTGTAAATGAATTTGATTCAGTCCTAGGAATGACCACCGTAATGTCGC